TCAGTATTACTCTTCTTATTTTAAATCAGCTAATAGCTAGATGCTGTTACAAGAGCAGTATGTGTTACTGTGGAGCTTCCTTAACTCAAGGTCATCTTTACAAAAAAAAAAAAAAAAAAAAAGCTGTGACCTGCTTTATGCTTTGGAAAAGTAATTCTAAGTGACCTTGGGCAGCTATAGCCTTTATTGTACCTAGGTTGCCGAGCTTACATGACAAATTTATGGTGGCATTCCTTTTTTACTGCAAAATCAATAGAATATCCTGCATTATCTGCTCAGGCCTAAAGATATGAAATAGAGAAGTAGGTTTGTATAAATTAAAATTTTATGCAGTGTTAATCTTTTTATGTCTGTGTTATTCAAACTAAATGAATAGATTTAACATGCTTTTTAGGACTTTATTTTAAACTTTTGTTTTTCTTTAAAATATTTATGGTACTACAAATTTGTATGTGTGCATATTGTGTATTCCTTAGGGAAATATCATTTCCCTTATTTCTAGACAGGTGGATTATTTAAGAGTTGCTGGGACTGCACTAAGATCTGGGTCACTTTGGGAATAGTAAGGAACCTATACTTTTCCTACACATTTCAAGCGTAGAGCACCCCAGAGATCCAGAAATAGGATAGTTCTGTAATATATTATGATTAGCATCCAGGGAGTCTAGTCAGATCTCACTTGGACAAGAAATATAGCCTTTTAGGCTTGTAGTTTCTGAAGTTACATGCACCTGTACTTAAGGGATTTGGTAGATCGATATGTTATATGACACAGCTCACAAAGTGGATCCAGCTAGCAGAAACATATATTGATTGGCACAAAAAGTGTTTTTTAAATATTTAGATTTATGGCTTCTCCTGAAAAATCGGAAGATTTGACAAACTGGGCCCCATATCACCAAATAGCAGTAACTAGATGGACCTAATACTTTCCAGTTTGCCAGAATCTGTACCACTCCTTATCCTGAAGGTGTCAGTTGTCATTTATCTCCACCCTTGCACAATCATCCACTTGCTCAACTCATTTATCTTACCCCCCAGCTACTGAAGGTTAAGAACATCTCATTTACATGTCGTCAGTTCACATGTCTTTCTCTGTCTGGTGAAGCTAAAAGTAAAAATGAGTAGATAGCAATTTAACATAGAAGAAAATCAACTCATTTTTTTGCAGAAACATATCATATATTCACGTTTCATACTTTTGCTCTTAGGTTTTTTTTCTTTCCTGAAACATTTAATTCATTGTCCTGCTGAATGAATCCTACTTAGCTCAACTTCCAATACCTTGACTCTTAACGTTGATCACTTCTGTCTACATAGTTTCTTATTCTGAAGTCTTAGAAGACTTACTTTCTCCAACACTATAAATTTATTACAGTAGAACTTCAGAGAGTCTCATTCAATTAAAGAAGAGTTGTGTTCCTGTGAAGAAACCTTTGATTAGTAGTCTTTTCTTAATATGGGGTTCACAAGTCATTTTTTTCAGAGAAATATGTATAAAGTCATTTAGAAGACTAAGAAAGTGATAACTTTAGTTTTTATTTCCTTAGTTTTCCCAGTTGGCCCTCAGACATTATATTTAAATATTGTTTGCTTTTCCTTTCAGTTACAGATGAGGACACAGTAAAGAGGTATTTTGCCAAGTTTGAAGAAAAATTTTTCCAAACCTGTGAAAAGGAACTTGCCAAAATCAACACGTTCTATTCAGGTGAGTAATTACAAGAGACAGTTTGTGCTGCTAGGGAAGGAAAAATTCTACCATGTCATTGTTTAAACTTATGATCAACATTTTTAAATTGAGGATTGTTTTTCCTTTCTGTACTGCACTTAAGGGATGATTTCTTTAGTTGAGATAAAAACACATCCAGTACCTCAGTATTTAAACTCTATGTGATCATTGCCTATTCTCTTGCGGCAAAAAGGGCTTGAGGGCCTCACTGTGAGGCAGTACCTCAGTAGAGCTTCACTGTGGCCCCAGAGCTTTAAAGAGTCAGAAACTTGATTTTATCATTTTATCCAGAGCTAAATTACACAGTTCTAGCTTATTAGTTGTGTCAGTTTTGTGTCCTTCCATTGCCTAGAACACTCATATCTGTCTCTCTAAAGCACTGATCTCCAGAGTAGCGTCTACAACATGCCACTGGAATGTGAGAAGAAAATACTGGAACTTCTATTTAGGTCTGACCCTTTTAAATTTTGTTTCTTATATATGTATGTTGTAATGTACACGATATATGTTAATAAAACAATGTCTTTATAATGCAAAATTTTGGAAACCTTGCTCTAGAGCACTGTCTTAGACATTAAGATTTTATGAAACCTAGTTGATAATGAGATGCTTTCATGAGTACAAAATCAGAACAAAGTGAGTTAGATTCAGAAGGACATTTCATCCAGACTCTGGAAACTTTACACACAGTCCTTTGTTACACTGCTGAATTTACAACCTAACAACTGAAATATCTATTGTATATAATGTATCTATTCCTTGAGCAGTAATTGATAAAAAAAATTAGTCTATAGTTTTATGTAATATCAAAAATATAAAATTGTTCTCTGTATTTTTCCTTTTCATATTTAATATACAAATTACATTCCTGCTATGAATATATTATTATTAGAGATTTTAATTTTCTTTTATTTCAGCTATGGTTATTGAGAATATACCCTCATCTCTTGGCATAGACTTTGGAAATACCATAATCTTATAACTAGTATAATCATAAACCAAATAGTAGTGTGGGTTAGTCTAAGGATGAATAGTTTCATGAACTTTACTAGTTTTTTTTTTTTAAAGAGGATGATTTTTCTCCTTGCTTGTCTACAACTTCTGGAAGTGTCTTACTCAGCTGTCCTTTCTCAGCAGCTCTCTTCATGAAGAGGACTTTTTATGGCATAGTAGGAGACAGGAAACAGAGGTAAAAAGAGTCTGTAAGAAGGAGCTGCCAGAAGACAAGAAGCTTAGTCTAGCATTCTTTTAGCTGCTATTATTATTCCGAATCAGTATTTCTACATATTCCTATAAAAATGAGTCTTCTAAGCATCCAGTATTTTGTAGAGCATTCTGTTATCTTCCACTCCTATTTGTTTGCATCTTCTGACTTCTTGGTTTTTCATTGAGAATTCCTGGCACTCAGTCTAAATCTCCATGTTAATTTTTTCTATCACCCTGGATGACTTCATTGTCCTTGTGGACAGTCATTTTCAGTTACACTGTACTTTGGCCACATACACCCATGGCCATACCTATTTCCCAGAATTGCTCTCCTTTAAAATACTAAACCCTGATATAAGAGTCTATGACCAACTCTCCCAGCCTTTAAGCTTTTTACTCTCTTACTTCTGTTTTTCCATTTCACAAACCTCAAGTTTCTTGAATCTCTCACTTTATTCCAGTAGATCATGCCCCTCCCAGAACTGCTTCCTTCTCCGTCAGTCATTTTACCCATTTAGTCCCCTGTGCTTTTAATCCCTTTACCCACATTGCCTTACATTGTGTCTGCCTGGTAAAAGTCAACCATTCCACACTTTACCTTCTTCATGCCTACCCTACAGCTGCTTAGGACAACAGAACAAGTTGGAACCACTGTAAATTCATTATTGCACCTTTACTATGTCCTCAAAGCTGCCTATGCGTCCTCATCAGTGTCCTTTTCCACTCTAAAGTGCTCTTCTAAACCTCATGCCATTCTCCTGAATTCTAAACTCATCACCTCCATTATGCTCACTGTGCCCCTTCCTCTACTAATAAAAAAAGGTTGTCAACTTCTGTTGACATATAATACCATGCAGATCTATGCCACCCCTCTCCCAAATACCTATAGACTTTCTCATCCTTATTTATTTTCCTCCAATCTTTGTGGAAGAGATATCCCTGTTCATTCCATGGCAAATCTCTACAACTACTGACTGAATTTCAACTCTTCAAGATCTTGCTCCAGTAATTATTTCCTCTAAGAATTACTGAATAAATGTATTTAACTTCCCATTTTATTGGTTCAGTCTCCTTAATAAGTCACTCCTGTCAAACAAAAAATAAACAAACAAGCAAACAAATTTCTTAACTCAAGATCCTCCCCCTCATTTCTTGTTTATAGCTGGACTCCTTCCCAGGCAGAGGGAACAGTTTATGCAAAGGCAAGAGCCATGAAAGGGCCTGGCATATGTGCATGTCTTTTTCACCAGGTGACAGCACCTGGAAGGCAAAGACAAAATAGAAATGTTATTTGAAACCATGCAAAAAGGTAGATTTTCTGCAAGAGAAAAATGTACAGAAGGGAATGCAATGTTCCAAGGACAAAGATAATTCCCACAGTTAGGAGATAGAAGGATAAAGAGGAACCAGCAATATAGACAGAGAAGAGGGCAACCACATAGATGGAAGAGGAGGAGACTAAAAGAGGAGGGCATTTGCAGCAGGAAGAGAGTTTAGATTAAGAAAAGGCTGTTGGATATGATATGAGGCTATAAGAAAAATATAAAAATACATAAAGTCAAATTTATTAGCATTTTTCTTTTATTGTGACTTTTTTGAAAAAGTGAGTCTCCAAGAGCACAATTCTAAATGGGTGATTTATATTTCAAATAGATAATTTATATCACAAATTTTTGGTTTGCAAAGAAAAATAAGTATCTATTCTTAGCAGTACTTTTTATATTTTGAGTTACAGTGAAAAAATACATCTACATTATAGCCCAGTACACATAAACAGATATGCATGTTTTATGTATGATTATATGCATTTATGTGGGTGAACACACAATATATTTAAATAATTTAAAATTTTTTTCATGAAACAATACTATCCTTAGTACTTGTAATATATTCTGTTCTCTGTATTTTTCTACTTTCTGTTTGAATTTTTAAATGCCGATTATGATGCCTTAAATTGGTTTCATGACCCCATATTGGATTGTAGCCCTCAGTTTGAAAAATGGTATCTTAGACAAGATTACTTCTCAAAAATAATTTTAGGTTAGCTACCATTAAAAATTTGGGTGGTGCTATGGTTTAATAACTTCCTTTCTCTGTGTGTATTGGTAGGGCCATTGGGGCATATCTCTTGATGTCATCACAGAATAGGTACAAATTGATAGTCTCCAGACTGACTTTTTGCCAGCTCAGGAAATGATGGGTAATATGAATACGTGATTGACAGAAATAGAATTTGGCACTCGTCCTAGACTATCATTTTTTCTCCTTATTTAGCCACCTTCTCCATGGCAGATTGTCTTGTAGACTGCAATGCACAGACACTAGGGCACATGAAAAACTATAAATAATACAGGGGCGAGTTCAGCTTAATAACCCACCTCCACCCACTTAATTCTCACAAATGAACAGTCAGCTAAAATTGCTCAGTTTTAAAGTGAGATATATTTTTAACTGAAACCTTTAAATGCCTGAAACAAATTGCTATAATATTTTATTGTGTCTATTTTTAGTCACACCAAAAAAGCCAAACAAACCAAACATAGAATGAATGCTAATAAAATTTGAACATTTTTCATACCAATTCTGTTACTTACCAAATTACATTTTGAAGTTTTGAACCTTTAAAAAAAAAAAGTTTACTATTTAACCTTCCTAGGCCTCCATGCGCTTGCCTATAAAACAACCAAATTGATTCCCAGCCCCCTAGGGTTCCACTGAAGTATTCAATATTCAGAATATTGGAGTCAGAAGCTATTTTCAATATTCAGAAAACCTGATGTAAGTTATTTTATTACTCTTTATTATTAATTATATTTTTTGGTTAATAAGAAATAGACAGTTATTTAGATTTATACATAAAATCTTTCAGTATTTGAAGACCATGGGAGGAGAGAGGAATTTTGAAAAGGAGGGGTCCTTTGTGGTGGAAACATTGCTAATCCCTAACCTGGAAGTCTTCTAGTCTCTTCTGTCATTTAAAATGGTATCAGTCCTGAAGACTACAGTATTAGAAACTTTTTTGTGGTGACCAGTAATGTCCTTTTCCAATGAACAACTGATCCAACTGATGGCTTCCTGTTACATCTTTTCCCAAACCAGTTTGCCTTTTCTCTTCATTCAAAATATTTAACTTCTAAACAGTGTTATGTGCCTACCTACATTAAAAAAAAATCTCAGAATATATGTGTTGCTTTTAATATTCTACAAAACAGGCAAGCCCTTTTTAGTGGTTGGATGTTTTAAGTAGCTAAGTGCTTTTCCTCTGTTTCTAAATAATTCCAGTTTTTTCTGGCCTCTCCTAATTTTTTGGCTTCAGTTATGCCTGAAACTCACAGCAGTGTTATATGCTTTTCCTTTCTTTACTAGGAAGGGAGAAAGGAGGAGGGAGAGAGAAAGGGAGGGAAGGAAAGAAATTACATTGGTGTTTTATTAGTAGGAAAATTACGACAATAGAAACATTTATTTCTTAGCTGTAAAATATTTTCTGGCTTTGTATAAGTGTAAGACCAATTGGATAATAGAACTATTTCTATTATGTGGTTCTTTTTATTATTGCTATAATTCTGTTTTACAGTGTCTTGCTGTATGTTTATTCTTCTTTGTTATTGATTTATATTTTATAGAAAAAGAATTTGAGGCACTATGTATTGTTATACCAGTAAGTATGTGTAATGAAACACAAGAATCTCTTTCACTGAAATACTAAATATTCATTTTGTAACTGATACATGTATCTAGTATCCACATATCTAAACTATGACTTGATGGCTGGT